GTACGGTGTCGTCCCCGGTGGCAGCGTCGACCTCTCAAGGCAGTTGCGGACCCAGACGGCTTGCCGCAGAGCGCGGTGCAACCAGTGGTGCTGCACGCCCATGTGCAGCAGCATCGTCCGCACCGACTCCACTACCGTCCGCATCTCCCTCTCTGCCATGCCGTTCTACTGCGGAGTGTACGAGCAGATCATGTCGTGGACGATCCCCTGTCCGTCCACGAAGTCGGTGAACTTCTTCCCGAGGAACTCCCCTCCTCGGTCTGAGCGCAACATCAGCACCGACTTCTTTGTCTGCCTCTCCACCAACACCAGCCATTTCTGGAACTCCAGCAGCACATCCGACTTCTTGGCGACCGGCCTCAACCACACGAAGCGGGTCTTGCGGTCCTTCAGAAGCAGGAAGTACAAGCTGCCGTCCTTGGTAGCCACGCGGAACGGCCCGCACGTCGTCGGCGTCGGAGCCGTGGTCGGGGAAGGTGTGCCGCGCCAGCTTCCCGCCGACGCACGAGACACACGGTGAGTCGGCCCCCGTTGTCGACTTGAGGTCCAGCCCAATGGCGACCTTGTTCTTCGCCGAGCTCCATATGGTGTCCATGTTGACGTGCGCAAGTCTCGAATGCATCCTGTCTGGCGTCGACTTCGTCTTCGAGACGATCGCCCGTAGGGCCACAACCTCCGTCGTGGGCGAAGTCGACCTCGTTGAGCAGGGACGCAGGTCGGTGCAGAGGACACGCCCGGAGTACGTCGCCCAACCTAGCACCTCTCCCGCCGCCGAGACGAGCAGCATTCCGTTACCATTCTCCTGCAGCTTCACTTCGTGCTCCTTTAGTTGGCCGGACGATAGCAGGTTGGCCCGCACACCCGGGACGTACAGCACGTCGGGGATGAGCACTTTCCGGCCTCTCCTTGCAGGGCGACGGTGCCACGGCCTTGGACGTCCTGCAGTGCCCCATTGAAGTCGCACACGTGCTTGATGGAGCCGCTCGGCTGCAGGTCGACGAAGACTTCCTTCGTCCCCATCAGGTGGTGGGAGCAACCGCTGTCAAGCAGGACCACCGCCGGGTTCGCCTGCACAGCTACCCCCACCGCCTGTAACTCCTCCCCGGCCTTCGGCGCCAGCGAGACGGTCGGCTCCACGACGCCGACCAGCGAGCACGACGCCGTCTTGTCGTCCCGCCCCTTGTCGCGAGCAGAGGAGTCGGCGTCCTTCGCCGAGGTCGACGTCGTCGACTGCTTCTCCTTGCACGGCTTGTTTCCTCCTCGACGAGGACGACGACTGCTAGACCTCCCGCGGCGTCCCTTGGCGTCGTCGTCGTCGGAGTCATTGCGGTCGGGGCACTCGAAGGAGAGATGGTCGGGGCTGTGGCAGATCCAGCACTGCCGACGCTGACTTCCTCCTCCTCGACCGCTGTCCCTGGTCGACGTCTTCTTGTCGACCTCCTTGGCCTGCTTCCAGCCACTGCTACCTCCGCCGCCAGACTGTCCGCGCTGCCGCGGTCATCCTCCTAGCTTCACTGGGGCGACAAAGTTCGCCTGCGCCAAGAGCTCCTGGGACCGCTCAGCGTCCTGCATCGCCTCGTTCTGCAGGATGTACGAAGTCAAGTTGTCCTCGTTGAGCGTCGTCCTCGTGCTCGGCGTCATGGACAGCTGCTTCAGGAGGTTGTAGCTGCTCGAGAGTCCCTGCATGACGTGGGTGACGTACGACGCCGTCGAGTACTGTGCGCCGGCCATCCTGATGGTGGCGAGAATTCGCCGGGCTCGGTTGCAGTAGTCGGTCGCCGTCTCCTCGTCGCCCATACGCAGGTGTGTCAGCTGCCCCTCCAGCTGGGAGATGAACAAGTCGTCGGTGACTTGGTAGGTCGACTCAATGAAGTGCCACGCCCGGTGGCCGGCGTCAAGGTACTCTCAGTACTACTTCAAGGCGATATGCACACCCGGCGAGAAGCACCGCGAGATGACCATGAAGGTCAACAGCTGCACGGCGCGAAATTCCGCACGTAAGTTGGGGTCGTCCAGGGTCGCCACAGTACCTCGAGCAAAGTTGACCAGCCCAGCCATCTCGAGCTGGGGCTCAATGGCCTCCTTCCAGGTGAGTATGTCCTGTCGACCAACGAGCGGCGGGGTGACCGAGATCCTGTCCGGCGCAAACTTGAAGTAGCCGTAGCTCGGTGCTATCCCGCCCGCCGTCACCTGGGTCGCCGACATCGTCGACAAACCGCTTCGTCGTCCTCCGACGTCGCCCTGCGAGGACCCTGCAGCCGCCGACGACTGCACCCCTCGCGCCTGAACGCCGCCGACTTCATCGGCGTGAATCACACCTCTCTGCCTCGACGTGCCTCCCGCACTGCTGCCGACTTGGCCACCTCCGGCGTTGACGCCCATGTCGACGCCGCCTTCGTTGGTCACCGGTCGAGGAGAAGCTGGTCGAGAAGGGGGATGCTCCGTCGCCCACATGGAGCGGAGTCCAGCCTCGACGACCGCCCAGGGTATCGTCCCATACTCCTGGGCTTCATGGCGTCTCCTAGCATCCTCCAGCCGTCCCTCCAGGGTGTCCATAACCTTGGTGTCACCTACGCGCACGTTAGTGACTGCACGGCTGCCGGCCTACGAACAACTTAGGTAAATGACCTCTACGTCGACCTGACTAAAAGGTAAGTCTATGCCTTCCACGCTCACCGCACCATGCAGAGATAACTACTACAGCGGGAGCTGGACTACGGGCTAGGCACGGGTGCTCGTGGTGTCAGAATGCTATAATTGTCTAGTCTGCAGTGTGGTACTCCATAGTGAGTACAACCCTGTTAGGGTTTGCTATATGTACTGCCCTGCTTACTAGTGCAACCTCCTCTTTCTCCTTCTAAGCTTTCTACTCCTAAACTTCGATATGCTATCAGAGCGGTTACGCTCCTGGCCTGTGGGCCCACCTGCTTCCGCTGCCCTACTGTGTGTCGCGCGCCCTGTGGCGCGCGACCTTCGATTTTTCTTCCCGCCACGCGCTCGGGGCGCGTGGCGGTTTTCTGCCCGCCGTGCGCCCCGAGGCGCGCGGCGGTTTCTTGCTTCGTGTGGCGCCCTGGGGGCCCGCGCGTCGCCCTCCTCCCGTCGCCTCGTCGCGGCGCCCTGGGGGCCCGCGCGCCGGCCCCTCCCGTCCCTTCGTCGCGGCGCCTTAGGGGCCCGCGCGCAGGCCCCTCCCGTCGCCTCGTCGCGGCACTTTGGGGGCCCGCGCGCCGGCCCCTCCCGTCGCCTCGTCGCGGCGCCCTGGGGGCCCGCGAGCCGGCCCCTCCCGTCGCCTCGTCGCGGCGCCCTGGGGGCCCGCACGCCGGCCCCAACCGTCGCCTCGTCGCGGCGCCTTGGGGGCCCGCGCGCGGCCCCTCCCGTCGCCCGTCGAGCCGCCCTCGTGGGCCCGTGCGCGGCCCCCCTCCCGTCACCCGCTGTGGCGCCCTCGGGGGGCCCGCGCCCTGCTTTTTCGTGGTGCCCTGGAGACCCCCCGCCGCCTCCCTTTCCCTCCGTGACCCGCCCCTACTGCTTCCCGCGCTCCTACCTGCGTTAGGATTTGGGGGTGGCGGGTGTGGGGGTGGCGGTTGTGAGTTCCTCCCCTTGCTCCTCCTCCTCCCTCGTCTCCCACTGCTGCAGCTGTCGCTGAGGGGGGTGGGTGTGTGGGAGCCTAGGGTTTAGGGTTTAAAGGGGGGTGCCGTGGGAGTGGAGCTAGGGTTTCAGCAGGGGGTGTGTGAGAGGGGCGTGGGGCAGCTGGGGGAGGTTGAGTGGAGGCAGCCGTCGTGTCGCCAGCAGCACCAGTAGTCCGGAGGCTACAATCTCCGGTAGTCGCCAGTCGCCTGTGGGTCAGTTGCTCCGGTCTGGAGGCTACAATCTCCGCGGAGCCAGTTACTCCTGTAGTCCGGGCCTTTGCTTCGGTAGCCACTGAGCCAGCAGCTCCTGTGTGTCTGCAGCTTCAGCAGTCGCCTCCCAACTTCTCTCCCCCACAGTCTCTCCTCCTCCTCACTTGCCCTCTGTGATAGCCTCTAGCTTTACTTGTGCTTGTACACTTATTTATGACTGCTTGTTGTACTGATTATACCCCACTTTGCCTATGGGGGTGTGTCAGAATGCTATAATTGTCTAGTCTGCAGTGGGGTACTCCATAGTGAGTACAACCCTGTTAGGGTTTGCTATATGTACTGCCCTGCTTACTAGTGCAACCTCCTCTTTCTCCTTCTAAACTTTCTACTCCTAAACTTCGATACGTGGATCTCTGCGTTCGTTGGTCCTTAGTCGTTTTCCTAGTGCATACACTGCTTGCTAGTTCACGTGGAAAGTTGGCAAGAGTTTCACTAGAGAAAGTTGACAACAATGGTACAATGAAGTTGGCGTGGTAAGACTACATCAGAGCTACCATTCAGGTCGGTCGACTGCCAGCACAGCGCGGTCGACCGCGTTCCAGCACGACTTGGACGACCGCGCTCCAGCAGTGCAAAGTCGACGGCGTGCCAACGTCGCAGGTTGACGGCGTGCCAGCATTGCTCTCGCAGAACAGCAGCGCACCCGCTTCGCAGGTGCTCGCAGATGATTGGCGGGCTGAGCCTCGTCACCTGCACAACGCACACACCAAGTCATCCTCGTGCTGACGACTCCACTTGATCCGCCATGTCGACCTCGGGATACCACCACCGAGGTCGGACTCGCCAGCTTCGTCTGGGCAACCGTCGCACTCCTCCGCAGAACCTCGTGACCCAGGTAACCTGGTCGACCGGGCAACCACGTCGACCAGCTGCTTTTGTATGTGCCCGTCGTCCTCCCAAGTCGACGACCACCTGAAGTCAAGCTCACCAGGTCGACCACGCCCCTGGTCGACCAGCTCCAGGTCGACGTCACTCCCGGTCGACCAGCTCCATGTCAACCAGTGCAGTTGTGAGCCGACCACCCAAGTCGGCTACCCAAAGTCGGCGTCACCAAGTTGACACCCAACTTCTCGACGCCCAACTGCTCGGCGTCCTGAGTCAAGGTCGATGTCGGCCCGTCCTTCGTCGACCACCAGGTCAGGTCGACCATCACGCCTGGTCGACCAACCACCAAGTCGACCAGCAGTCCTGTCAGCCGACCACCCAAGTCGGCTGCCCCAAGTTGACGTCCTCCGCAGGTCGACTTCCCAGGTCAACCTCCCTGAAGTCGGCGCCACCCTGAAGTCGGTGCCCATACAGTGGTCTCCGTGCAGGTCGACCTCCTCGTCAACCAGCTCGCCCACTGCTGCAGGTCGGCTGCTCCCCTCACAACCAACCACGAAGTCGGCTCCGCCCAAGCGAGGACGGGGCCAACACACAACTCCCGTTGACAGATATCACCTCCTTTCCCCCTCTCAAAACACATCCCTTCCTTCTCTGACCTCACCTCCCACCCCTCTCCCACAGCACCTCCTCTCTCCCTCTCATGGCACCTCCCTTCCTCCGTTTGACCTCACCTCCCTTCCCCCTTCCCTCTCATTCCGCCATCTACCATCATTCCAACTCTCACTCCACCATATACGGCCGTTCCGCCTCTCGTTCCGCCGTCTACCGCCATTCCGCCTCTCGTTCCGCCGTCTACCGCCATTCCGCCTCTCGTTCCGCCGTCTACCGACATTCCGCCTCTCGTTCCGCCGTCTCCCGCCATTCCGCCTTGCATTCCACCATTTGTCGCCATTCCGCCATCTACCGCCATTACGCCTTGCATTCCGCCATCTACCGCCATTCCGCCTCTCGTTCCGCCATCTACCGCCATTATACCTTGCATTCCGCCATCTACCGCCACTCCACCATCTACCGCCATTCCGCCTCTCTTTCCGCTATCTACCGCAATTCCGCCTCTCGTCCCGCCATCCTCCGCCATTCTGGCTCTCATTCCGCCATTTACCGCCATTCCACATCTCTTTCCGCTATATACCGTCATTCCGCCTCTCGTTCCGCCATCTACTACCATTCCGTCTCTTATTCCGCCATCTACCACCATTCCGCCATGCTCATCCATAAGGAATTATCCCGCAAACCCGTCGAGCTCACCTACTAAAGGCAGTGGAGAAGGGTGAGGCAACCTGGATACTGGCAGCTCCGCAACGGCAGTGGATAACAAGGATTGGCCTTACTGCCTTTCTAGATTGTGACGTGTGATCGTAAAGCATGGAACGCATGAACTAGGGCAACAACTGCACTCCTTGTGAGAATGGTGAAATTGTGTATCTCATAGTTCTCTGACCCTTGTAAAATGCTTGGTGTGCACGCGGGAGAGAGAGTTGTTGCACCCTGTCGTTTCGTCACGCAGGTGTGTTTCCCAACCAGATGTTACCCTCGAAATGCGGGGTGAATTTAAAAAGTGGCTCTGATACCAGATGTTATGAGTTGCAACACAGAGTTGAGCGGAAAACGAATAACGAAGCTTGTGACTGAATGATTTGACGATACAATGGAAGACCCGCGATTATATAGCGGGCCAACCTAGCTACGCGGGAACCTCGGGAACACGATGTTGGGTGCAAGTTGGGCAAATGAAAACCGAAAGCAACGTGAGGTTGCTTCAGCACCAAGCAAATCGTCCGAACATGCGCTTCCGAAAGTTGGGGTTGTGCGCGGAAGAGTAAACCCCAGTAAAAAAAAATGTGCCTTGCTGTAGGGATATCTAATTCCTTGTGGTAGACATCCTGTAGCTGGGATGTCAAGAGCATCTCACGTCAGAACCATTTCGAAGCCGCCTCCTCACCAATCGCCACCTTTACAAGCCTAGCTTGCTTCGAGGTCCTCGCCTAGGATTCGCCCTATGATTGCCGCTTTTTTCATTGTATCTACAACTTTCGTAATCATAGTCTCACTACTGAGTTCTTGTGCGTACTATGTAGTTCACGAATTGCTTATCTCGGGTGAGTCTCTCCTCGATTTCGCAAGCCGATGCGTGGAGGGGCCTCGCCCCGCTGATGTGCACCAATCCCTTGAGTTATTTCGCTAGACCGCCAGCGTGGCAGCTAGAAACCTAGCGCACCGCGTCGGTTCTGTCGGTTCGGTGCCCAACAAGGCGGTTCGGGACCACGTTGAAGCTCCTCCCCCACCTCCCCAAAACCGAGGTCTCCACAACCACCAAATCCAGTCGCTGTCCCTCGCCCCAGTTCGCTGCCCCACTTCCCCTTACCCTCCCCTCAAACGGCCGAACTCCCCCCATTTGGTCCCAAGCCAAATACAGTAGAAGGTGTCGTTGTGCATGTTGCTCAGCTTCCACCCGTTGGCAATCTTTTCTGATGACTACAGTGATGCGCAGCTAGTGACGCCGCAAATTACCTGCAGAGCTAGCGACCCATGCGAATTGTAAAGACTGACTGCCGCACCACGCACGAGCACTGGTTCTCAACACATAAGAAACCTTCTTATATCTGGATAGTATTATCCCCTCACACTCCCTTTTTTCCCTTCATCCCAATTCTCGGCGATTAGAGCCATGGATCACAAGGACTCTCCGCTGTCGCCGGCGTCGTCGTGCGTGTCGTCGTCGTCGTACACGGTGTCAGCGGGCATATGGGCGATGAATATCCTCGGTGCAGTGGGCATCATCATGGTGAACAAGCAGCTCATGTCCGCCTACGGCTTCACCTTCGGTAAGCACGCCATTATGCTTCACCCGAAGCTTTTGCGAGTTCGCGGCTTCACCGAGAGGCAGATAGTCACTACAAATATTCCAGCGGGAATGGAGAGTAGCCGCGACTTGAAAGGAGAGGCATCGATTATGTGTAATTAATCGTCCCACTCACTCCTTATCATCCCTGCCCCGTCGCGCGTCGCAGTGTCGACGTTAACGGGTCTGCATTTCGCCGTCACCGCGATCGTCGGCCTCCTCGCGTCCGCTCTAACCGGAAGCAGCAGCTGCGTCAGCAGCAGAAGCAGCAGGAGCAGCAGCAACGTAACTGGCAGCGGCGACGGCGGTGGCGACGGTAGCGGAGGAGGAAGAGAAGAAGGAAAGGCAGCAGCGGCGGTGCTGCCTCTGTGGGTACTCTTAGGGTTCGCGCTGCTGGGGAACGCGAGTCTGGTGGCGACGAATTTCAGCCTGCTGCTCAACTCGGTGGGGTTCTATCAGATCTCCAAGGTCGCCGTCATCCCGCTCGTCTGCCTCTTCGAGTCGCTCGCCTGGCGCCGCGAAATCGCGCGCAGCGTGTGGGCGGCGATGGCGGTGGTGATGGTGGGCGTGGGGCTGTGCACCAACGCCGACATCACTCTCAACGTCGCCGGCTTCTGCGTCGCCACCCTCGCCGTCGTCTGCTCCGCGCTGCACATGATGGTGCGTGCGACCCCTTGCGACACGTGCCGCGCGACGTGCGACGTGCGCCGGTGCTCGATTCGTCGTGGTTGTCGTTTTCATCGGCGCCAATTGATCTTCCTCTTCTTGCCGTCATCCTCGCTCCTGCGGCATTCTCCTCAACGTGAAGACCCGTCCGTCGCCCTCACCCAATCTCTCGCTCCCTTTTTCTCCCGCACTCCCTCTCCCCCGCCGCTCGCTCCCCCCTCCCCTCTCCCCCCAACGATTCACTACTCGCAGCTTATTGGCTGGTTGCAGGACCACTACGCCACGTCATCGTTCGATCTGCTGAGTCAGACGGCTCCCCTGCAGGCGTTCCTGCTGCTGCTGATCGGCCCGCCCCTCGACTTCTACCTCACCTCGCGCTCGCTCCTCTCCTTCCACTTCTCCCCCGGCGCCCTCGTAAGCCCGCTCGCCCTTCCACTCCGCTCTTGTAATCATGTGCTTCTCAAAATGCACTCCCAAATCTGCACACCACCGCCGCACACACTCCCCACTCCTCCTCAGCGTCTACCCCTACCTTCCCCTCCTCATCCCTCTCTCGTCGATCTTCGTTTTCATCCCTTCGTTTCCATCCCTTCCCGCAGCTCTTCCTGCTGCTATCGGGGCTGCTGGCCGTGGCGTGCAACCTGAGCGTGTATCTGTGCATCGGCCGCTTCTCCGCCACCACCTACCAGGTGCTCGGCCACGTCAAGACCGTCCTCGTTATAGGCATCGGAGTCGTCTTCTTCCACTCTCCGCTGTCGCGGCACAGCATGCTGGGCATGTCGCTGGCCGTGCTGGGCATGGCCATGTACGGCCGCGTCACGCAATGTGCACGCAGTAGCACCAACAGCGGCAAAACGGGTGATTCTTGCACTGTTAATAGCAGCGGCGGTGGTGGGGGCGGTGGATGGAAGGTTGGCAGTGGGAGCAGCTTCGTCAGCAGCAGCCGAGAGAGTATGAGCATGAGCAGCGGTGGTAGTAAGGAGATGGGGACAGGGAGGGCAGGGTGCATACCAGGCGGAGTGGCGTGCTGTGACGATGGCATAACGGTGGTGAAGCATGCATGGGGCAGGGTGATGCATGCATGGGCGTGGGACGAAGCAGAGCGCTCCTTTGTCCCCGTGGCTGGCAGGACCGCGGCAAGGGGCATAGGGTTGGCAGCAGGGGTGGGAGGAGGAGGCGGCGGGTTGATGGTGAGAGCGTCAGCAGCAGCGCCTCAGCTGTGGGTGCCGCTGCTGGGTGCCAGAGACCTGGAGGCAGGCAGGGGATGATGCTGATCGTCAGATGACGATACTCATCCCATGGCTAACGTTTCCAGGGGATTTCCAGCTGGGAACCAAGTGCTGCATTGGCAGCCTACCGTGCTCGCCATTGTGCCCGCTTGCAGTCACTGCTGTGCTGCTGCTGGCGCTGGTGCTGCTGCTGGCGCTGGTGTTGCTGCTGGCGCTGGTGTTGCTGCTGCTGGTGCTGGTGTTGCTGCTGCTGGCGCTGCAGCTTGAGGGTCCAATTAGCCAAGAGAACGTGCCTGCAAGTCCAAACCAGCCGATTGCTGCTGACATGCTGACAAGTCTAAACCCCAAACCCTAAACACTGAGCATCTGAGAAGTCACCAGGCTACAGCTTCTGCGGCAGCAGCAGCGGAGGCAGCAGCGGGAAAAGATCAACCAGGGGCCGAACATTGCCAGAGAGGTGTTCAAAGTAGGGCCGGTAAATCTCGACCGTAGGATTTCAGCCCAGAGCTGCCCAACTGACTTGGCGAACAAGCCGAACCGGAAGTAAACGATATTTGCTAAAAGAACCAAATTGTTTATTCATGTTTTTTATTGAGGGTTTTGACCTCCGTCTACTACAGCGCGCGCGTCGCCTTCTTGTGGAAGTAAAGTTCGGCGGATCAAATCGTGAGTACCGTCATCGCCCGGATATAAGACATATATGTCTTATCTCGTACACTGGCAAAAATGCTTGAGTTATCTTGTAAACGGGATGGTTTAGGGTGTCTTATAAGTCTTATAAATGGAAACTTTTTAAACTACTTGGAAATATTTTCGTACTTCTTTAAAAAGAGTTTCTCATAATGCGTGTGGATGTTGCGAAGGTGCCACTTCGACAACCTCTGCCCGAGACGCCACGTTATGGAGAACACCTGCAGGGGCAAATTTGGTAGGTCCTGGGTCAGCGCGTGGAAGAATTCGCGCTTCGCAAGGGTAAAAAAGTACGCGGTACTTCAACTTTCGCTATAATTTATTGAAGTTTCGATTATAAGACATATATGTCTTATCTCATACACACAAATAGGTGTCTTATAATGAGGCTAGCCTGTTTATAAGAGACACCCGTATAGTAGACAACCCCTGTCTACTATTCAACACTGCCTTATATCCGGGTGATGACGGTACGTATAACATATTATATTCTGGGTGATAAATGTGAAGATAAGCAGTAGAAGAAGGCGCCATAGCTAGGAAAGCCCTAGCTAGGCAAGAAACAGTTTAGGCAAAGAGGAGTCCACTAGCAGGAATGAGGATACAAATAGCAAACCCTAGAAGGGTTGTACTCGCTATAGAGCACCCCACTACAGGCTAGAGCATAACATTCTGACACACCCCCATAGCCAAAGTGGGGTGTAATCAGCAGAGCAAGCAAAGCAGAACAAGCTCAGGGTGGATCACAATGTCACCACACATTCTGAGCACAAGTACAAGAAGCAATAGTTTAAAGTTCACAATTATGAGCAAAGCTAGAGGCTATCGCAGAGGGCAAGTGAGGAGGAGGAGGCGAGACTGTAAGAGGAGAGGAGATAGGAGGCGACGACTGAAGCTGCAGACACACGGGCAACAGGAGGCACACTGGCACAGCGGCTACCGGAACAGCGCTCCGGACTACTGGAGTAACTGGCCCCGCGGCTAAAAGTAGCGGCAGACGAGCAACGGACCCACGGGCGACTGGCACAGGTGGCTGCGACTGGGCTACCGGAGCAACTCCCCGGACTACAGGTGCTGCTGGCGACACGACGGCAACCTTCGTTCAACCTCCCCAAACAGTCCCACCCCCCCTGACACACACCCCCTGCTTCACCCCTAGCTCCACTCCCCCTTCACCCCCCTTAGTACCACTCCGACGGCTCCAACAGGTCCACCCCCCTCAGCGGCAGCTGCAGCACTGGGAGACGGAGGAGGAGGAGGAGCAGGGGACGGCACACAGAAGCTGCACCCCCATGCCCCCCACCCCCAAACCCTAATTATTGAGAACGGGCAGTAGCAGGGGTGGGGCGCCATCAGAAGCACGGGGGACAGCGGGCAGCGCAGGGGCAGCGAAGAACGGGCCGCCCACGGGCCTGGCACAGCCGCCCGAACCGCGCGCAGGCGGCCCGAGCCGCGCGCGGGCCTGGCGCAGCCCGTACGGGCCGCGCGCGGGCCTGGCGCAGCCCGTACGGGCCGCGCGCAGGCTGTACGGGCCGCGCACAGGCCACGACGGGTGACGGGGGGCGACGCGCGGGTCCCCGTCGCCCGTCGCAGCGCCTCCCGGGAGCGACGCGCTGCGTGACGGGGCAGAAACCCGCCGCGCGCCTCGGGGCGCACGGCGGGCAGAGAACCGCCGCGCGCCTCGGGGCGCACGGCGGGCAGAAAACCGCCGCGCGCCTCGGGGCGCACGGCGGGCAGAAAAAACCGCCGCACGCTCCGAGCGCATGGCGGGATGAAAAATCCGTTGCACGCCACGGGGCGTGCAACACAGAGAGTAGCAGTAGCAGCGGAAGCAGTGAGGTGGGGCCCACAGGCCAGGAGCATATCGCTCTAATACCATGTGAAGATAAGCAGTAGAAGAAGGCGCCATAGCTAGGAAAGCCCTAGCTAGGCAAGAAACAGTTTAGGCAAAGAGGAGTTCACTAGCAGGAATGAGGATACAAATAGCAAACCCTAGAAGGGTTGTACTCGCTATAGAGCACCCCACTACAGGCTAGAGCATAACATTCTGACAATAAATACCACCTATCCGATCGTAGACGCACTGGAAAAAAATATATTACCCATTCGGAAACAGATGCGACTCGGGAGGCATCAACCCTAAATACCAGGAAGTTATCCGTTTTAGGGTCGACCCATCCCGAAAATGCATCCAGATTCCCTAAGAGTTGTAGTTTTTTTTGCTGCCCTAAGAGTTCCAGTAGAGTCGGCTCGCTAAACGACACGCGAGCGAAAATTCGAGCCGGTACATGCCACTAATAACATAATTACGTGCAATAAAGGAAGACCCTATGTTAATACGGTACCTCTATGCGCAGCGGTTTGGGAATTTCCGGGCCTCTTGGCCCCTGGTTGATCACCCCTCTGGCACTGTTCGGCCCCTCTGTTGAATTACATTGCATATCCTAACTGCCTACAGCTTGTTGTTAGTGTATTAGTTATTAATTAGAACCTATTGCTGGTGGTGTACCCTTTGTCTTCTCCTTGCCTATATCTTTGAATGCCCTCCATTATTCAAGCCCCTCTTTTGGGCCAACCTAAACTCCCTCGATAACCATCTTACTATGCTACTCTCCCTCCAAGCTCCTAATCTCCTAAGTTCTTATCTCAACATGGTATTAAGAGCTGGGTCCTCCTAAGGACCTTGTCATTTTTCATTCGCCATGGCTGCCATCGTTGCCATGGCGACCGTTGCAGCGCCCTTCGAGGCGCTCGCCCGTTGCCTGCCCCGCGCTGAACGCCCCGTGCTACCCGCCCCACGCGCTGGTCGCCCCGTCCCGCGCGCTGTCGCGTCGCCCCGTCGCTGGTCGCGGACGCCAGCACCAGCGCCTCCGACCGTCGCTGACGCCAGCGCGAGCGCCAGCGACGTGCGCCAGCACCAGCGACTGTCGCGAGCGCCAGCGCCAGCGCCGGTCCCCAGCGCCAGCGCCAGTGTCAGCGCCAGCGTCAGTGCCAGCGGCATGCGCCAGCGCCGGTCGCGAGCGCCAGCGCCAGCAGCGGCCGCCAGCGCCCCCGCCATCGCCACCCCGCTCCCCGCCTCCGCACCTGCCGCCGCTCTCTTCTACGGTGGACGTTGCGGGGGGGGAGGTGGCAGGGCTTGCGCCCGCGGCTACGGGGGTGCTTAAGCCCCCTTGAACCCTCCCGCCCCTCCCTAATCCTCCTCCTCATCGCTGCCCGTGCATCTGCAGTTCGTGCCGCGTTTGGGGGGGGGGGAAGAGGGTGTGGGGGTGGCGGGTATGTGCAGGCAGCCGCCTCCCCCTTCTCCTCCTCCTTCCGCTGCACTTCCTCTCCTCCTCTCCTCTCCATTCCCCTCCTCTCCTCTCTCCTCTCCTCCAGCCGCCTCCTCCTCCGCTTGTTTGCTCCTCCAGCCGCTTCTCCTCGGCTCTCCGCCTGTGCACCACCAGCTTCCTCCTCCTATCCAACGGTTGGTGTTAATCACCAGCATCCTACGCCCTC